CTCTATGATGACAGGTACGGGATAATGATTGAATTCTTTAAAAACTGCATTCTACTACCTGCTCTCACACTAGTAAACTCAAAGGTTCCACTAAAATACGTTCAACAGTACTGGCAAAACTGCGAATTTGACGATGCCAGTCAAGGTATAATGGGAGATATCAACGCACCAAACGATATGATTTGCGCGGTGAAAATTTCACGAGCAAAATTTTCCAAGGTGTTGTGCATTCCAACGAGACGAGAGCTCGAAATCGAACAATATGATGAGCTACCAACTTCCGAGGACATTATGAGGTTCGTGAGGATGTTAGGCTACAACAAGGAGATACGAAACATCTCAGATTTCAAAAGACAATTCCTCCCACCAATGTGGAATTTGTTCTTTTCAATCCTGAACCGGTCCCTGACATACAAGTTAGGCTCCCTCGACCAAGGGAATTTGAACATCATGACGATCATGTATGGCCTATACTTCAACCTCAACATCGATTACGCCCTCCTCATCTACATCGAGATCCACGCGGCCGTGCTGAAGAAGTGTAAACTTCAAGCCGTTGGAACGCCGCTGTCTGCTGTCCACTTCCCCCACTTCCTTGCTCTCATAATTGGGGATGCGATGAGGAAAAATGCTCTCCCCGCAACAGAGCCATACACACCGGTCTACAAGATGCACGTACATCGCCCAACTCTTTCCAAGGAAGGATATCGCATCAACAGACCACTATCAAGGGCTATGCTCACTGTCATTCCATCGACAAGTGAGATACGCCTCGCCTATGAACGCTCTCTACTGTCCCAAGAACTAAGGGCAGCTATCTCGGAGCACTTAGAGTCGTCCCCCCTCCAAGCGAGGGAGCACAAGCATCGTCTTCATCGGATGATGAAGATGATGATGATGCTAGTGATTCCCCCGGCCCTCACCAACATATTTCCCAACCCACTACCAAAACGGTAACCACATCCACTATCCCTGGCGATCAAAGCCAAATGGATATTGAAACAGGACGTCCCAGTCCAATCCCAACCCAAGCTAGCCATCCAGAGGCCATCCTTCGGGCCTCTGGAGATGAACCAGCCGAGGAACCCCATCATCCATCACCCCTCTCTCAACAGAGAGGTGATGAAGAGATAAGAGCCCCTTCGCCTCGGGGCTCGCCACTACCCCACACATACACAGAAGCATTCGTTGCTTCTGACATTGATCCCATAGATCGTTCAGAGCGATCTTCGATTCGTGCACCCCTTCCATTGATATTTGATCTATCAAAGGGAACACACATCCGATTCACTTACTCAGCCTCTGAAGCTGAGGAAGAGGAAGAGGAAGAGGATGTCCCAACATCACGAGATTGCTCTTCTCTTGAAGGCTATCAAGGACATGATGGAAGTCCTTCACGGCCTACCTTCACACAAGGCCAAGAAGGCTCCTCAGGAACAGAGGCCCAACCTGTAGCATCTGTTGCTCCAGGGGTTACCCCAATAGCAGATCTGGTCACTAAGGCTGAGTTCCATGCCTTTGTTGACAAAGTGACGCGGTCCTTGGATGACCTTAAA